GAATAAAATATTAACTAAAATTATTATATAAAATAAAAATAAAAGTTAACTAATTAAATTTAAATATCCAATTAAATACCAAGTATAAAATTTAATAAAATAATTGATGAAATGATTTCTTTAAAATTGTTTTATTTTTATTGGTAACATTTATTTTCTTTTGTTTATTTATTACCTATTTGTTTTCCATTTTTATCTGTACTATGGGTATGAATCTTAAAAAAAAACCTGAGGTACTGCCGTATCTGAATTAGGTGAATTCAAACCTAAATTAAAACTTCATTTTGGATTTAACTCCGATTTTCATTTCTACTTTCCTAAAGAAACTGTTCAGCCTTTTTGTCAAAGTTTTACTGTTCAAATAAAAATTGCACAAATCAGGGTTTCTAACCTACATCGTTAGGAGCTCTGGTAGCACAGTGCCTAAGACACTTGACTGCTAACCAGAAGGCTGGCGGTTCAAACCCACCAGCCACTCCTGGGAAGGAAGATGGGGCAATCTACTTCCATAGTGATACTGCCTCGGAAACCCAAGGAGGGGTCGCTATGAGTAGGGTCCCACTCGACGGCACATAACAATAACAACCACCACCACCTACACTGTTACTCAGTGTGCATTGGGAAGGTTTCAGCTGTCCGGAAGGAGCCTCGATGATGAGGAATAGGACCCTAATGTTAAACTTGTAAGTAACTTTGTAGCTAAAATGGAGACATACAGATCTTAGTCAGAATTGACTCACTGTGTCCACTAGTCCTCTATAAAGCTGTAACTTTTATTACAAAGAACCTTATCAATTTGGTTTCATTTGTATTTGATTGATTAGTTGGTTGATTGACTTCATTGATTATTGATTAATGTATTGGTTAATTCATTACTTGGTTGCTCAAACCCAGCACTACCTTGAACGATATTCCACACGTTCTCTGGCTAATTTTCACAAGTAGATCACCAGGCCTCTTTTCCTCATCTATCTTTAGAATCTTAAAGTTCCATTCTAGAAGTCTGTAAGAGCAGCGCCCTCACTCTCCCATCAAATTGTCTTAGGTCTGTGGTTCGGCTATAACAGAAATACATAGATGGACGGCATTTATTTTCTCGCAATTCGCAGGGCAAGATTCCAAACCAGGTATCATTTGTGTTGACCTCTTGACAGGCCTCTGTCCTGGCTCCTGGTGCCCGCCAGCAGCCCTGGGCATCTTTGTCTGTGGACAATCCTCACAGGACATTTCTTCCCCCGGTGCACGTCTCTCGTTATAACTCAGAAGTGATTAGGCTTAGAACACACCCCACTGGTTTGACCTCATTAACATGACAAAAGAAAATTTCTGTTTACAAACAGGATAGAGCCCAGAGTTCAAGTGCCAGGACTTCAGTACATGTGTGTGGATGGAACTGACTCAACCCGTAACACTGACTGTTGGGAAGGTGGAAAAGCAGTCTATTACACAGTCCTCCCACTCCCACCGGACCTCCTTGGCCTGGAACATTCCCCGACAATGGACGCTGAAACTGAGCCTTCCTCCATCCCGCTTTCTTCTTTCTCGTTGGGAAAATATCCTCACTGTTCTGGGTACACCGTGAACTTTCCTTGTTCTGCCTCCTGCTAAGTGTGTGCTTTGTATGGGACCTCTGATGGCATAATGCCTAAGGCATTTGACTGATAACCAGAAGGTTGGCGGTTCAAACCCATCAGCTGCTCCATGGAAGGAAGACTGGACAATCTACTTCTGTAAAAATTTACTGCCTCAAAAACCCAAACGGGGTCACCTATGAGTTGGAATCAACTCGATGACAGTGAGTTTGTTTTTTTGTTTTTATTTTTTTTACCAACTCCATTTCTGTATCTGTTCCTAGAGGGCAGAGAACAAGTCCTTCAACTACCACATGGAAGAGGGGTGCATGCAGTCCAACCGGCCCTGTTCATCTCAGGGAGCTGGCCATGAGAGACTGACACTCACTATTGAAGTTGACCATACTCTGTCTCACATGAGTAAAGCATTGTTCCATCCAAGGCTTGAATGTAAGCAGTGTCTTTCTTGGCAACCTTAGACCTTGGCTCAACAGCTTGGTGCAGTGAGCAAGCCTGACACTAACTCTAACACTGACCCTAACCCAAATTCACATTGAACCCAACTCTTTATCCTATAAAACCTAAAGCTGAACCCAAACCCTCTCGTGAACCCAAATCTTAACTCAAACTCTGAATCCCAACTCTAAGCTGAATCAGAAACCTATTCCTGTTCCAAAGCCCATTCAACATGAACCCTAAATCCTAAGATACAACCATAAAGCTAACCAGAACCCACATCTGAGACCTGATGAATGGGTTAACAAACTGGACCATCCACACAGTGGAATGTTATTCAGCCAAAAAGAGAGATGACATGGATGAACCTAGAAACATGGTGCTGACGGAAAGCTGGACACCAGAGAGCGCATTCTGTACAACTAACTCCATTTATATAAAATGTTCAGAACAGACACCAGAGCTCCCAGACACAGCCATAGAGACACACAGCAGACTAGTGGTGGCCAGTGGCTGGGGATGGGGAGAAATGAGGGGCACAGGGTTTCCTTTGGGTAAATCAAATGTTTTAGGTGTCGAGAGCTGGAGGTTGCACAACACTGTGAATGTAATAAACACCAATGAATTGTACACTTCAAACAGTTAAAGTTATGCTATGTGATTTTACCTTAGTTTAAAGAAGAACCTGGCTCCATCACAGCCTCGACAGGTGAGCCCTCTTCCTCCAGCCTCGTAGCCAAGGCTCTCCACTATTGACAAGTGGACACCCAGCCACCCCCTTCGTGCCTCAGCCACCTGCTGTTTCATCCCCTGGTCCCAAGCCCCACCTCTCAGGGGACTCACGGCACTTACAAGGGCCCTGGAGCCAGCTCTCTATAACCCTGTCATAGCCCTGGCTCGGTCAGGGTGTTCTAGTGTTTCTGGAGCGCCACCTTGCTCAGATGACCCTCACAGCAACCCTGTAAAGTACCATCACCCCTGAACAGTGGAGGGTGAGGCTAAAGGTACCCAAGCCCAGCCCCCACACACAGCCTCCAAGTGAGGGTCCAGGGTCCAGGCGGCCCTGTTCCTGGGGGCACTCAGAGGGAGCTTATGGTCAGCTAAGTTCCCACCACAGGAGAGATGTGTCTGATCTGCAGGTGGCCACAGAGGTGTGTTTTCATAAAGGCACCAGCCCAGGGCTCCCCCATGGGCTACAGGAAGTAGAGTAACAGTAGGACTTTGAGATCTGGTTAGAGGAGAGGAAGCTAGTATCCCGCCCATACCCCTCCCTGCCTCTGCATGCTGACTATACATTCTGGGGGCCTGCCCCACCCCCACTAAAGCTGAAGGCTCCACAGGCACACAGCAGCACTGACCCCCAGGAAGAAAGGGCCTTAGTGTCCTGGGCTGCAAGTGCTCCTGCCTGCTGGGCCACAGGGCCCTGGGAGAGCTAGGGGGAGGCGGGCCTTGGTCCCCTTTACCTTTGAACCTTCAGCTCCCCAGCCCCAGCAACTCCCTGGGAGGAGGGCCAGCCATCAGCCCCCAGCCCCTCCGAGCCATCCCCGCCACAGCAGCACTCCTCTGTGGCCAGATGGGGCCACACGCCTCGCTCGAACACCTTCTTCTCTGGCCATCACCCTCCACTTGCTGCTGGGCCTGGACGCTCTGGCCACAGCTCTCGGCCTCGTGGGGCAGCCACCGTGTCCTTTAATCTCAGGAAGGCATCACTTGCTCAGGCCACCTCACTTGTGGTCATGCTGACCCTTCAAGGGGTGGGGGCAGGACAGTTTAGGAGACCAGCTGGGTGAGCACAGACGAAATGGAGGGCACGCCTGGCGTTTGCAAGTGCTGCACAGGCCCCTCCTCGTGGGTGTCAGTGGAGGAGGGTAAGGGCCACCTCCGTCCAGACACGTGTCCGGGTGTCCCTGGAGTGAAGCCAAGCCCCGTCTGCCAAGGGTGCTCACGCAGCCCCTTCACTGGAGTCCTGGCTCTGATTGTGACCAACTCCCACACAGGAGCTCATGCTGGGGGTCCAGGTATGTCTGGTTCCAAGAAAAGCCACAGGCTAAGACAGGGCTGGGCAAAGGGCTTTGCGTGTATCCTGGGGTGGCTGACGGGTGGCAACCCCTGTAGTAGCCCAGGGCACAGTAGCTGTTGTTGCCACCCTCTGAGTCTGGGAGGCCTGGCCTGGTGGGGGACACGGAGGCCCAGTCCTCTTGTGGTAGGTAGGCAGGAGGCTGTCCTACCCCATCCAGACCCTCTGCTGGCAACAAGCCCTCTGAGCCCAGGGCAGGTGGGCCCTCCTCCTCTGAGCAGGAAGGCTGCCAGGGCCTCGCGGGGCTGTAGGTGAGCAGCGCCACAGCCTCTCGGCAGCTGGGCCATGGGCCTCCTGGTTGGGCACTAACACCCTCTTGGCCCAGCTGCAGACCCACTCGTTGGGCCCCTGTCCAGGTCTGGAATAGAGCACAGTGAAAGGAGGTTAGTCTGTGTGCTCAGCCAGAGACTCACCCTGGGATGGACCAGTGGCTCTTCCTCCAGAGAGCCCTCCTGGCCTACCCTGAGGCTGAGCAGTACCCCCTAGTTGTCAGCTGAGCCTCTGCCCAGAATTCAGCCCCTCACAGCTGGACATGATGGACATGATGCTCCCAGCGCCATGAACCAAGATGCAGAGGGTGAGAGGTGCAGAGATCAGGTGATCCTCGACCTTTCAGCAGCCAGAGGTTGGGCACCCCCACCTGACCCACCTATATGCCCCTGTACACACACATGTGCACATCCACACCTACACATCCCATGCACACACACACCCCACGCACACCCACACATACCTGCACACCCAGGTGCAATACACACACACATACACAGCTACATGCCCACGTACACACCCACCTACACACCCACATACACAGCCATCTACACATCCACCTAGACACTCACATCAATGCCCACACAAAGGATAGGAACCACCTGTGGGGAGCTGTCTTCGCCCCCACAGAACCCCATTCCTAGCATTCCCTGGACAGTGATCCTGGAGCCAGACCCCAGGGTGTCTGGTGCACTTCCATGTGTCCCAACAGGACGCCTCGAGGGTTCGGATCCAGACAGGCAGTGGCGCCTCCTGCACCCGGGGGCCAGAGGGCCCACCACAAACATCCCAGGCCCCCGACACCTTCCTCATGGCTGCAGGACACAGACATCTCAAGAAGGAGGATGGAGGCCCACCCAGGAGGACACAGCCCCAAACGGGCCCCACTTTAAACTGACCACTACTCTGAGGGGCTGCTTTGCACCAGAAAGGGGACCACAGGATGGGATTAGAGACACAAGAACAGAATGAAATAGGCAATACAGAAAGCTAATTCTTTGCACATTCCAGACACTACGTAAATTTCAGCCTAGTAGATAAAAAACTCCAAGCACCAACCAAAGCCTGGAGCCCCCATCCTGGGCCTCTGGACCTAAGGGCCAGCTGTGCACGCACCTGGAAATTCCCATGGTGCTCTGTGTAGAGTGGCTGGAAGAAGGCAGCTGGAGAGGGCACGTGCTGGCGGAACACCCTCTTCACCCTGCGCTGGGAGATGACAGTCAGCCCTCGGAGCTGGGGCTGCTTGGGGCACCTCCTCCAGAGGCAAGCAGCCCTGCAGGACTCTCACCCCTGCTGCTGTCCCTGCCACTGCCACACTCTGTCCTCTTACTGGCCACAGTGGAGTCACTTATTAACAACCCCACAGATCTGGTTTACACCGGGCCTTTACAGTGAGGTTGTGACAGTACCTTGGGCAGGAATAACCACTTCGGCCTCTACTGCAGAGGGCTCCCAGCTCCCTGCCCTACCTGACAGGGGCTCCCTACTCAACACATCCAAATCCAGCTGGGATCACTGCTCCCCCCAGCCCCTTTAGTTCCCTACTCACCAACCCTCTCTTCCCACTCCATTTTCCTTGCCAGTTCAAGCCAAATCATGTCCCCCTGGCCACCAACACTGGACTCCATGCAGGCCCCCTCATTCCTGTTTCTCAACCATCCCTTTCAGAAGCATAAACCATTCTGATCACAAACTGTCTGACCAATCCTCTTCCAGAACCTTCTTTGCTCCGAGGAAAGCCCTCACCCTGTAGCCTACCTGCCTCTGCTGTCTGGCAAGGCCCCGCAGCCCTCTCCCCACCCTTCTGCTCTCTCACCCAGCTGTATGGCCCCTTCTCACCCCCAAGTGCCAGGCCCGCTTCCCCACCTGGTACTTCTGACCCATCCAGTGCCCTATGGGAGCATCTCCCTGCCCAACCCCCAGCTCCCATAACCTAATACCAGAGGAGGCCCTGTATCTTGCTCCCTGTGGCCCCAGGCCCTGAGAAGAGGATGTGACACACAGCAAGTGTCCAGAAATGCTTTCACAGAACAGGGGAACAAGTGAGCGAATTGCCAAGTAGAGGCAAGGGACCAGGCAGCTTGGTTGGGGCCTCTGAGTACCTCCCACAGACCCATGAGGGGCCCCTACTCGGCGGCCCTGACTGCAGACACCTCCTCCTCTGGGAACTTGGGAGCCCCACCTGGCTCAGCCTCATCAAAGACCAGAGAGCGGACAGGGGCCGGGAAAAGTGTCCAGGGAGCTGGGAGTTTCGCACTCAGTACCCTCACCCACCACACTCCTCCCTACACACCTGGGCGACAGCTTGAACAGGAGGTAGGTCAGGCTGCTCAGCAGCAGAAAGATGGACACGGCAAGGAGAGTGCTGTCTGGCCGCCCCCAGGGTGGGGCCGAGGAGCCTGCGAGCAGTAGGGCCAGGGCTGTGGGCAGCCGCAGTGCTGGGAGGTTCCCTCCCAGTGCTCTGGCCAAGGGGACAGGGTTCAGGCAGCCTGCGAGGGTTAGTTCCTGCCTGTTTCCCACCTGCAACCCCACTGTCAGGGTCAGAGCCTTCCGGGACCTTCTATGTGCAGGGATTGGCCCAGCCACCCCTAAGGGGAAAGTCTTCTCTAGCTTCCTCGGAAGGAAGGTTGGGCAATCCTACTTCCGTAGTGATACTGCCTCGGAAACCCAAGGAGGGGTCGCTATGAGTCGGGTTTGACTCCACGGCACATAACAACGACAACAAGCTTCCAGAGACAAGAATGCAGCCCATCCCCCCAGCCACACCCACTCCTCATAGTAGCTACTGGGTCCCAGGAGTCCCTGTGGCTTGTGGTGGAGGTGGTCATGATGGATAACAGGGGTGGGGGTGGGGGGGTGGCTGCCTCAGGGAGGGGGCTCTGGTGTGGCAGGGGGCAGAGGGGGCTGGCTGCCCTACCTGGTCTCTGGGGAGCAGAGAAGCGCACAGGTGGGCCCCACTCACTCCACGGGCCCTCGTAGCGCTCCTCCTCAGCCGTACTGCCCTCCTGTGCCATGTGCACTCGCAGCCGGGCCTCATAGGTGCAGCCAGGGTCCATCTCCGTAGCTTCCAGGGTGAGCCGGCTCACCCCAACAATGTGGTCCTTGTGCTGGGCCCGCTGAGAGATCAGGACAGGTAGTAGGTGCTGAGGGGACTAAGGGGCCAGGGGGACTGCAGATGACTAGCCGGGGTCACATCAAGGATGTACAGACACGTACATACATGCGCACACAGGCACAAAGCCGCACCAGTGTGCACACGCACACACAGGCACGTGTACAGAGACACCCCAAGTGTACACACATGTATACAAAGACAGCCATGTGCACATGCACACATGCATGTGTGCATACAGTCACACACACATGCACACACAGATGCACAAAGCCGCACCAGTGTGCACATGCACACACAGACACGTGTACAGAGACACACCAAGTATACACACACGTGCACAAACACAGCCATGTGCACATGCACACATGCACGTGTGTATATGGTCACACACACATGCACACACGGACGCACACACTCCTGGCTCTGGTCCCCTCTCGCCCTCATGGCCACATCCCCTCATCTCCACACTGACACCCCCCAATATGGGTGGGCTGCCGCCCAGGGTGCGTGGCTCTGCATTACCTCCCAGGCCTCCTCCTGCCTCTTGAAGGCCAGTTCATAGGCAAGGAGGCCGGCCAGGGGCTCCAGGGCGGGATCGATGCTCCAGGTCAGAATGCAGGAGTCAGAGCTGACGTTGCTCCGCAAGCCAGAGGGGGGGTCCAGTTTGACTGCAGCAGAGGGAGGTGCGTGAGGCTGCAGCCCCAGGACCTCTTCCGAGGTCTGGTCCTCAGCCTCACCTGGCAGGACAGTGGTGCCTACTGGGCCATGGGGGTCATGGGCTGCAGGGTCTACCCCAGCCCAGCCTCCAGGGCACCTCACTCACCATGTTTCCGGGGCAGATACTGCGCGTTCACCAGGCTGATCTGCTCCTGCCCAGCCACGTGGTGGTGCAGCGTGATGGTGAAGCTGTCCGTGGGCATCAGCACCTCCTCCAGAGGCAGCTCCACAGAGCACGTGCTGGCCTGGAAGACACACCTGTGTTTGCTGCCTGGAGCGTGGTCACTGGGAAGGAAGGACGGCCGTCAGCATCACAGTCATAGGGATCCCACCTTCATCTCTGCCCCCACCAGGTGTGCCTGCCCTGCCCTCTCACCTGGTGAGGAGGAGCCAGGGCTCGGTGCCCTGACTGAGTGCGGGAGCTGCCCAGTGGCACTCGATCCTAAGGATGTTGTTGTTGAGGCAGGTGATGCTTCCAAGCCCGGACCCTGGGACAGTGACCAACAGTCCATGCCAGGGCTGGTGGCAACTGACACCCGGAAAGGCCACCCCCAGGGAACGACCCTGGGAGAATTCACTGAGAGGAGGGCTGAAGGACAGTGGGCTCTGGCCTCTCATACTGGGTATGCCAGCCCCTGGGAAGGCCTTTGAGGGGGACAAGGTGGTGGGACTGGGTCCAGGCCAACCCCTGGGAGGCAGGCCACACAGAGGAGGTGCAGAATGCAGCCTCACACAGTCTTTACAGAGGACAGCCCCCCACCCACCCGAGCACCTGGCCCTCACCTCCTCCTCCCGCTGGGAGAGAGGTTCCCCAGCAGACACAGGTGCAGACGCAGGTGCAGACTAGGAACCAGGTGCCCACTTCCTGCATCAGGGCCTTGCCCTCCAAGGTCCAGCCTGCAAGAGATCCTACCCACAAGGCGCTCCCATGAAGGATGCAACCCAAGACGTCCTGCCTGTGAATTACCCCTCATCAAGGATAAGCACCTGTGAGGGTGCTCCCGTCTGAGGTTGCCACTGTGAGGTGCTCTCCATTAAAGGGGCTCCCTCTAAGGGCCTCTCCACGAGAACGCTCCCCGTGAACTGCCACCCTGACCATGTTCTCCCGTAAGATGCTCCCCTCGGACACTATAAGCCTCCAACAGGGTGCTCGGAGAGATCACCACCTCCACCCTCACTGTGTCCAGTGGGGACTGCCATTCCCATTTCATCCACAGGGAACTGAAGCTCAGAACAGTCACTTGACAAGCCCAGACTCATGGCCCCAACACTCAAGCCCCAAAATCCTGGGTAGGTGTGGGCTCAGGACCAGCCACAGGTCCGTGTCTGCCAAGGAGGCTCCTGTCTGGGCCCAGGTTCCACCCTGCAGGGGGGGCATGATAGGGGCCAGTCACTGCCAGCAACGGCCCTGAGCACAATTCACCGAGCTGGTGCCACACCCAGAGTTGGCTGCATCACACGTGTCTTCGCAGACCCAAGTAGAGCCCCGTGGGGGAGACCAGCCGAGGCCGCACAACCCAGGTAGGTCCAGCCAACCTCTCCACACCCCTCCCTTCTGTTTCCCTCTGGTAAAGGCCAGTCTGCGCTTGCTCCCAGGAAAGGGGAGGTGACATAGCAAGGGCTTCATGCAACAAACTGCCGTTGCTAAACTCTCCTCGGCTTGCCCTGCCCAGCGGTGGCCTGTGAGGGAGAGCCCCGAGGCGAAACCCTGGGTGTCAGGAAGTGCATGGGTGCTGGGAGGCTGTCAACACCCTATCACCCCATTTGCAGGTCCAGATGGAGCACTGATAACCCAAAGGCAGGAAGGCAGGCAGCCGGGTTATGCAAGTCTGATGCATGATAAGGAGGCAAAAAGTAGCGGTGTGCCCACAGACCACCACTGCACGCAGCTCTCAGGAAGCCCGCCCCGAGCTTGCACCCTGCCGGCCCCACGCCCCTCACAGCGTCTGTCTGCCCTAAAGGAGCCCCACACCCTCATGAAGGCCACGCCCCCACGAAGGCCACGCCCCCTCGTGAGGGCCACGCCCCATGGAGTCCAGGCCCCCTCACAAAGGCCACACCCTTAAGGACCCCACTGCCCCCCACAGAGTCCCACACCTTCAAGGAGGCCACGCCCCTTCATGGAGCCCCACACCCTCACAGATCCCACGACCCCCCACGGACCCTACGCCCCTTCATGGAATCCACACACCTTCAGAGATTCCACACCCCCTCATGGAGCCCCCTTCACAAGCCCTCCTTCACCTGGCGGGCATCCCTCATGGAGCCCCACACTCTCACAAAGCCCCACATTCTACATCAGTCCAACCTCCTAACACACACATCCTGGTAGCCTGTCCATGTGCTCACAGGACAGACTCCCATTAAGACAGGAGCAGGAAGACCTCATCCGTCCCTACAGCCATGGGAGGCTCACCCATTCCCTCTCATAGCTGTCTGCTGTCACCCCCGCCAGCTCTCAGGTGCACAGGGCAGACCTGGGTGAGAAGAGGGTATTGAGTACCTGGAGCACAGCGGCACCTCCCACTGAGAGTGCTCCGGGCCCCACATACAGGGACTCCACAAGCTTGTCCACGAACAGGGCACCTCCAAGCTCCGGCTCCGTGCGGACCCCAGCAGGAGGGCAGGAACCTCCTCGGGGCACCTGGGAGTCTCTGTGCACCCTTCCTACAGACTAGGAGACAGAGGCCAGGCAGGGGCGATGATGTGTCAGGCAACTGTCCCCTCTGTTCCTGGCTCCCACACAAGCCTGTGCGCCATCACAGAACCGTGCCCTTCCCCTGGGAGACACTACGACGCTGGATGAAAGAAGCACAGCTCTGGGCTGAAGCCCCAGGCAGACCCCAGCGTCCCTCCTCCTGGGGCTCCTCAGGCACCAGGAGGGGACATGTCCAAGGCAGAGCCCCCCCCCCCATCCTTGGCCACGGACACCCTCAGCAATGAGTGCCCCAGTCCAGGAAAAGTGATCAGATGAGGCAGGGAACACCGACCACGGCTTGGACAACTCAGATCACGCGATGACTGTGGGCAGGAGAGGAGGCGGTGTCTGCCTCACACTGAGGTCCCTTCCAGGTTATCTCCTCTGCGGCCCTGCTCCCCTCACAGCCACATGGGCCCTTTCTTGGAGACTGTCTCCCCCACAACCTCAGGGTTGGGGTCTGGCCTACAGGCCACCAGGACAGCCTCCCGGGGAAGAGTCTTAGACAGGCACTGCTGACCCTGTCTCACACGCAACTCTGCCCACTTACAGGCCCTTTACACAGGGTGTGCCTGAGGGGTGCACTCATGGAGGAAAAGCCAGGCTGGAGCTGGAAAGGGGCAGGGCTAGACAACTCTGCAGAGACCTCAGGCACTGGGCAGAGACCAAGGGTCCAAGGGCACAGGCAGCCTGGCGAGGAGGTTCTCCAAGGTCAACCCGTCAGCCCCAGGAACCTGAGTGGTGGGATCCAGCCCCAGGCCTTCCTGTGCTGGCCCCAGGTGGCGCCCACTCCCACACCTCTTCATCATCACAACATCCACGCGCCCTAAAGCCCTCCAAGGCTGAAAATCGGGGCTTCGTCTGTGGACAGGGAATGCCCACCTGTCCTTGTCTCAAGATCACCTCAGCCACCAAGAATGCAGTTTCTTCCATAATCAGAAACTGACAAACTCAGTGCCCCCATCCCGTCCAGAGCACGTGCTCAGACCAGCCCTCTTTCCCTGAGTCTCCTGGCACACTCACCTCCCCGGAGGTGCCTGCCCTGCGCCATTGTGCCTCCAGAGCCGCGACGTCCCGGTGAGCAGCCAACCCCTCGGTGACCGATGAGCAGTGATGACGCGAGCTTGCTCAGAGGCGGACACAACGCCCACATGGAAACCACGAACCACCACGAGCCGCCACCACACAACCATCCCAGGGAGCTGAGGCCAGACCGGCTGCAGGGTGCAGGCAGCAGCAGCGAGGTGGCCCAGCAGGTGCGGCACGCCGCCTCATCCTAGGGGCAGACCCCTTCCCAGCCAAGACTGCCGGGCAGGGTGAGGCTTAAACGCAAAAGTAACACAAGTCACCTACAGACCACGGAACACAGGAGACCCACACGGGGTCTTCGTTCATCTGGACCAGAGGCAGCCCTGCCCTCAACCTTTCTACCTGCCATTAGCAGCTACACACCATACCTGATCACCCCCTGCTGACGGCCATTCAGAGTGTCTGTACTGTTTGCTATTTTGAATGAAGGGAATGAGCAATCCAGGGCATGACTCTTTTCCTCACCAGAATGAGTACTTCCATACAGAAAGCGCTTAGAGGTGGATTGGTTTGCTCTAAGGGTTAGCGGGTTTAAAGCCTATTTAAAACATCGATCTATACTGCAAAGCCACCCTCCAAAGATGTCCTGCTGCTGACCCCACCCAGTGTCCTGTCTGCAACCAACAGAACACATTATCAGCCTTTTCAATCTGCCAATCTGGTAGGCGAAGATAGTTCAATGTCGTTTTAATTTGTACTTCCTTGATTATTAGTGAAGATAAGCACTTTTCCAGATATTCATTGGCCTATGTTCTTTGTAATACCAAATAAGGTCACGTTTCAGTATGCATTTGTGTGGGAGCATATATGTGTGTATGCAAGTGTGTATGTGCATATGTGGGTATACATGCATGATGTGTGTGTATATATGGCTGTGGGGTGAGCACATGTGTGGGTGTGCACGTGTGTATGTTTGCATGAGTATGTGTGTGCATGTCTTTGTGTCTGTGTGTGCATGTATTGTGCATCCCAGCATCTTGGGAAGGTTTAAATACCACAGATGTGCAGCTCTCTAGAATCTGAGAATGCCAGGGCCCATGGAGAGAGCAGAATTAAAGGTTCAAGCTCATGAAACACCTTTGCAATGACCAGGGACACATCACATTTTCCTAATCTTCACGTTTGAACCAGCTTTTAGCTATCACAAGAATATACTTCCAGCAAGATGCAGAATAGGCAGACAAGCTACAAAGATCCTCTGCAACAAAGACATTTGAAAACAATACAGACTACGATCCTTTGAAAGGAAGCTTTGAAAGGAAGGATAAAGTGGATTAAATACCAACTAGTGGAAGAACCTGAATGAAAACAGTGAATAAGGAGACAAACAGAGCTGTGGACTGCTGGCTATCCTGAAGGCACAACCATTTTGAACATTTGCAAGCAGTGTCCCCATCCAGCAGCAACCTAAGAATTGGCTCTGCTCACCAAGGACTTCAAGGACTGCACTGTTGCTGGTGTTGTTATGTGCCGTCGAGTCGGACCCGACTCCTAGCGACCCCTCCTTGGGTTTCCAAGGCAGTATCACTATGGAAGTAGATTGCCCAACCTTCCTTCCGAGGAGTGGCTGGTGGG